GGGATCTCCTTCCAATAAATCGTGAGTAATTACCCAGTAACCTGACTTTACCGAATAAGACATGTTCTTCGTATATGGCCAAACATAACAATCCTGCACTGCATACTCAGACAACTTAATACTCTGTATTTTCCGACTCTGTTCTTGAGTAAAGAGAGAGTTTAACAGAGGTATATTCCAAGACCTCTTGTCATCCAGCATCAACTCGGCCACAGTCATGTTAGGTTTAGTAGTAGGGTATTGGAGATACGTTGGTGGTGTAGTCGGGATCCATTTATCTGACCACACATTAGTAGAACAACCATCAGCAATAAGGGTGTACATGCCCTTGTTCAACAACTCTTTACCTACCTGTATAGATTTCCATCCATAGGAGGCTTGAGTTATATTCGACGACTGTAAGAATGTCGACGAATAAAAATATCTTCCTTTATATAAACGATACAAAAGAGAAGAAGTATTATTTACCAATCTCCAAGCTTGTTTTGCTAAAAGAGCTTTATTAAAAGCGTGAAGATCCCTGAAACCCATTCCTCCTTCTTTCTTTGGTAAACAAAGTCGTTTCCATGCTACCCATGAGATCTTCTTCTTATCATCATTTTTACCCCACCAGAAGTCAGACAAAACAGAATTGATTTCATCACAAGTAGTTTTGGGGAGTAAAAAACAAGACATTGAATAGACTGGCTTTGATTGGAGCACCGATTTTATTAAGACCTCCTTTCCTGCTGGTGAAAGAAACTGATTAAACCAAGGAGACACCTGAGCTTTTACTTGGTCCACCACTCCTTGAAAATCATTCACCTTACTTCTACTTAATTTTTCAGGAAGTCCTAGATACTTTCCTTCACCTCCGATCTTATGAATATTAAGAATATGATGGATCATATTCCTGTGAGAAGCATGAATCTTATCTCCAAAAATAATTGATGATTTTGTGAGGTTAACTTTCTGGCCTGATACTTTCTCATAACTCTCCAATATCCAAGCAAGGCATCTAGCATTATTCTCATCTGCTTTCACAAAAAACAACGAATCATCCGCAAACAACAAGTGAGATATTGTTGGACAGTGTCTAGCCAAAGTCATTCCTTGAAACTGCTGAAGATCTTGAGCTCTATCCATCATTTTACTTAACGCCTCAGCACACAATAAAAATAAATATGGAGATAGGGAATCACCTTGTCTTATACCTCTTGACGGTTTAAAATTACCATAGGGAACACCATTAATTAGAACAGAGAATGAAGCCGAAGTAACACAAGACATTATCAATTGAATCCATTTTTGATCAAATCCGAGAAGCTTCATAATGTCTTTAAGAAATCCCCACTCCACTCTGTCATAAGCTTTGCTTATGTCAGTTTTAACAGCCATGTATTTTCCAGAACAATCCTTTTTAGTCTTGAGAGCATGAATGAGTTCATGTGCCACCAAAATATTGTCATGAATCTGTCTTTCAGGAACAAATGCGGCTTGTGATTCCGAAATTACTTCTCCTAAGCATCCTTGCATCCGAAGGCATAAAATTTTTGAAATAATTTTATAAGCCACCGTACATAAACTAATCGGACGAAAATCGCTCATACTTTGTGCTTCTGTAATCTTCGGAATTAAACAAATGTTTGTATGGTTAATCTTCGGTTCCATTTCCCCTGTTTCAAAAAATTTCCGCACCATCATACAAACATCAAGTCCAATAACACTCCAAAACTGTTGATAAAAAGCCGCAGTAAAGCCATCAGGTCCTGGAGCACGATCAGATCCTATCTGTGTTAAAGCTTCAAAAACCTCATCATCTGAAACTGGTCTAGTAAGAAACGTGTTCATCTCATCTGTTACTTTCTTCTCAATGTCAGGGAGATAGTTTGTTATTGGGATCGTAGATGAAGAAGTAAACATCTCTATAAAATACTCCTCTGCAATCTTGGCAATTGTTTCATCTTTAGAATGCAATGTTCCATGTCTATCTTGCATATGTTTGATTCTGTTTTGGCTTTTCTTCATCTTTGTAAGACCATGATAGAATCTGGTGTTACGATCTCCAAGATTCAACCATTTATTTCTACTTTTTAATCTCCAGAACTCCTCTTCATCATGATACGCATTATTTAACTCACATCTCAGCTGGTGAATATACTCAGTTGTAGCAGAACTGTCACAAATAGCTTGATCCAAAAGAGATCGAGTTTCCTTAATTCTGACTGAAGCATTGGTTTTATGTCTGCGTTTCCAATTAATCATAATCCCACGACAATGATCCAGCTTTCTCATCCATCCTTCACAACCACGTACTTCTTGCCATGCTTCTGATACCGTGTCCACAAAGCTTTCCTGACCATATAATCTTTTATCGTAGCAAAACCAACCTTTTCTTTTCTCCTGTTGATAGTCAATAGAAATCATCATAGGCCTATGATCCGACTCTGCTATTTCCAGGTATTCTGTTTCAGAGAAAGGATATTGATTCAACCACTCATTATTAACAAAAACCCTGTCCAAGCAACATTCAATGATTTCTCTTCTTCTTCGACCAACCCAGCTAAAAGGATTCCCTTTAAATTTTAGGTCTTCCATACCACAAACATTAAGCATATTGTTAAAATCTCTGGAGCTATTTATTGTTCTTTCACGACCACCTTTCTTCTCATTAGGTTGTGTGATTTCATTGAAATCACCACACATCATCCAAGGACCCACTCTAGACACAGCCAATCTCTGTAATCGTTCCCATAAATGATGTCTGTACTGATTGTTTGGATGACCGTAAATACATGACAAATAGAACTTAAAAGCTTTGTATTCCACATGAAGGTCAATAAGACGTACATCGCTTGAAATACATGAAACAGAAACATGATTTTTCCATAAAACAGCTAAGCCACCACCTAAACCTTGAGGAGGAACTAAAACCATCTGATCATAACCTAAATACACTGCAATATCACGCACATAGTCATTCTGATTCTTAGTTTCAATGAGGAACAACAAATCTGGGAGGTACAACCTTTGTAACTCCTTAAGACGTCGAACTGTCAGGCGTTGTCCCAAACCTCGACAGTTCCACACCTCAACTCTCATGGGATCTCTGGTGGTATCGGGCCCACCGCGCCTCTGTCAATTGTACACACATTCTGTTGGTCTTGATCTTCACCATAATCTGCTTGAAGCTTCCTCAACCCATTCCATTCACCAGACAATCGCATTCTACCCACTGGAAACTTATCCACAGTCTCAGCATCATCACGGGCTCGCTTACCTGTTGAGCTTCCTTCTCCAATGCCATCCAAAGAAGAGATTTCATCATACCTGACCTCCTCAACACTCGTATTCATTGGAGTGTTCTTCCAGGCATTCAGCTGCTCATCCAATAAGAAGGACCCATACTGTCCTAGTCGAAACTCAGAACTCCATCTTTCCTCCATTTCAAGGATAATGTGATCACCATCATCATCAGATACCGCAACTTCCTTGTCCTTCTCCATATTAGCCATCTCCGCTACATTCAAAGATCCCCCACGGCCAGACAACTTCCTCTTTCTAGACACCAAACGATCCTCCTCCATGTCCATAGGAGGTTGTGAACAGAACTGTTGCAGAAGAGCCAAATTCGATACCGTTGGGTTGTCAACTATATCTGCACCAGTCGGCTCAGATTGAGCAATCTCCCCTAGAGCACCGATGTGTGGCTGAATAGCATCTTCACCTCCCTCTTCAGGCATGTCTTCATCGTCATTTTGACCATCATCTTGATCATCACCACCATTATTAACTCCAGGAGGTGGAAGACAATCACCAGTATCATGAGTTAACATACCACAGTCTTCACAGAAGCCACGTAGACGTTCATATCTGAACTTAAGAAGGGTGTTGATTCCCGGGTAGAACTGAAAATTGCGTTGAAATCTCAATGGCTTCGAAACATCCCAATTAAGTTGAATTCTCACAAACTCCACATCACCAGTAGCTTCCGGCTTGAAGTCCACTGTCATGACTTCCCCAATTCTATCTCCAATACTTCTGATCAAAGGGGCAGTAAGGAACTCCAAAGGGATTCCACGAATTTGAGTCCACAACGGTATATGGTTGAGTTGTTCATCTCCCAACGCAGGGTTCCATCGGCTTATGATCAACATTCGTTCATTATACGCCCAAGGACCACGAGTAATAACAGACTGAAGGAGTTCCTCCGATGGGAAAATGAATTGGAATTTCTTTCTCTCAATGATTCTTCCAGACACCATCCCAGTGAGGCCCCACATTCTTGGAAGAGCAGTCATCATTGTACGCAGGTTTTGTTTGCGGAGAATCGTCGGCCGACCCATCAGAGAGAATTGAGTTGCGCGCCTTGCTTCAGTACAAGCTTCAATAGGCAGAGCCACAGGTTCATCTTCCACCCCCAAAGTAAGATCTTGAATAGCCCGACGCAGGTTATCAGCCATACTTGTCAAAGAGAAATCAAAACGCAGGAGATAAAGAAGTTGCGAGTAGGTGTTAATTTTGTGAGTGGAATCGTACTTCTCTTGGATATATAAATACTGAAGCAGATAATTTTCATCATAGTGGGAGAAATCCACTACGGAGATGGAAGACTCGACGAGGAGAACCGTTAGAAACCACCCCATTATCAAGTCTAAAACGGAAGAAACTGCACGTTGAGGGGCAGTTTCTGGGAATAAACCGTCGGAAATAAGAAACCGACGAATCGCACTTTCAATCGCCCAAAAAATCGCCACTTTCTCGAGAGTTTGTTGTTTGGAGTAAGAAATATTTTGTTTTAAAAAGTATTTGGAAAATACTTAAATTTAACTTAATTTTCTTTATTTTTATTTTTTATTTCACATACAAAATATATAAAAAGACTATTTAACAAAATTTGTAACAAGTTAAGAGTTATAACATATAATAAAAATATATCAAGATTTAAATTTATTAAATATTTAAATGTCTAATGTGAATAATACACATGAGTTTTTATTTTTAAAATAATTGAACATCAACCGAAAACTGTACTCTCTCGTTGAAAAGAGGCGATCAAAAACACAACCTTTCTGGTTTCAGTATTTTCCTTCTTCGCGGTGGCTACGGCCGCCGCTTTAGTTTAATATTTCTTGTTTTCTTTGTACCCTAGTTTATATTGTATCAATAAGCATGATTTCGTTGAAATCAATGGCGTTGACTTGTTATCAAATCAAGCGACGAGTATTATCGTCACACCGTCTTTCTTCTTCCTACCATCGCGTGATGTCTTTGACATGGGCAGACAATTTTTTGTTTATCCTCTGGTTCATTGGGCAGTTTCGGGATTTGGATCAGATCTATGACGAGTCCATCTTCTCCCTAATAGGTGAGTCTATTATCTCCATAATTGTTGAGTGTGATCTTCCGACATACAAAGCTTGGCAGTTTTGCTTTGTCGATGTAATTCCGTGGTTTGTTAGGCACGGCGGTTTATTCCATTCTGAGAATTCCTTTCGAGGAATACAAGTTCTATTGAACGAAAAAAGAAATCTTAAACTGCCATGGCCATGGGGAATATCGCAGACACCATGTTCGCTTGACAATTTGACATGGATGATTGTGACTTCATTCCTTCATAGAGATGTGTTTCATTTTACTTTGACAACAAGAGGGAAAGGAACTTGTTTATGTGAAGATAGGGAGTGGCAGACGACAGAGTTATGTGATTATCAAAGTCAATTTGAGGAATTACTTATGGTACTGATAAGGAATACAACAAAGCATGTTATCTCCTGCAGCGGGAGTGTATGGAATGGGCAACGATGTAACAGATGGATCGTGCCTCCTGATCTATTAAGTGGTAAAAGACTTTGGATCACAATGGATGATAGCCTAACACAAGATCATATAAGACCAAGAACAACGATAGAAAAAGTTAGCGAATCAGTCTATCCTGCAATAGAGTTAGAAAGCATCGTGTTATTACTTTTCTATTATCATGTTCAGTTTAAAAAATGCATTAATTGTATATTTCGATTCTGATATTCTGTTAAACCTCTTTTGATATCAATGAAATTATGATGTTATATTCTGATATTCTGTTAAACCTCTTTTGACATCCAAATTTCACGCAGAAATCTATAACATTATTTGAGAAGTAAATTTGCTTAGTTGTCAATTTCTCCATGATTTTAGGTTATTTTACTTATTTTCATGTTTTAATAATTTAGTATATAATAAAAACGAATTTATGTTAATAATATTATATTTTTAGAAAATATGTTAATTATTTTGTATTAGATTGTTATCTTAAAAAATATATTATTCAATTATTATTTTAGAAGTAAAAATTTGCTTAGTTGTCAACTTCTCCATGATTTTAGGTTATTTTGCTTATTTTCATATTTTAATAATTTATTATAAAATAAAATAAAAAGAATTTATGTTAATAATATTATATTTTTTGAAAATATGTTAATTCTTTTGTATTAGATTGTTATCTTAAAAATATATTTTTTAATTATAGAATTTAAGTGAGTTTGCTGATTAATTTTGTAACTTTATGTGATTTAGGTAATCTATACTATTATTTATGAATGATTTTTTGCAAGAAAGCTCTCACGTTGAAAGTTAGAATGGTTAATATCGTTTATACCCTTAATGAATAATTAAAAAAAATTAATTTAATTAAACATAAATAAAAAATGAATTTCAATGATTTTTTAGATTTATCTTTATCTAAAACTATTTTATATTGAGTTATAAAGTTTTTATTAACCTTGAAAAATAATTATATTAGTTAATATACTTGAAAAATCATTATATTAGTTAATATATAATTAATTATAAATTAACATCGAATTTCATTTATCTGATAATTATCCTTATTTTTTATATTATGTGATAAAGTCTTTATCAACCTTGAAAAATAATTATATTTGTTAACATATAATTAATTCTAAATTTAAAAATGAATCTCATGAATTTGATAATTATCTTTATCTAACTTTTTATATTGTGTTATAAAGTCTTTATTAACGTTGAAAAAATAATTCTATTTGTTAATATATAGTTAATTATGAAAAATCAATTTGCAAAGAATTTGTGTATAGATAATTTATATTGTGTTATCCAAAACATTATTAAACATAATTTTTTATACTTTTTTGTTATGTCTAAAAACAATATTAATTTATTAATAAATGTTTCAAGTTTATGAGTATTTTCAAATATAAGTTGTGTAATGAAAATTATTTATATGATGATGAAAATTTTATAAATAAAAAGAAATAATTTAGTTTATTATTAAATATTTTGAGTCTATGAACAATAATTTATTATAATTTACATAACTTGATTATATATTTATTTATAGATATTAGTAAAATTATTAAGCCCGCAAGTGCGGGCAAAACACCTAGTTTATATATAAAAAAATAACTCACTTAGCCCAGTCATGAGATTCATTGTGAAATGCTGTAAAAGATAAACGATAATATAAAACACTTAACAATTGCTTAGTTTGAGAATAATTGAGACATTAGTGTTGTGAGAAAGTGTTGGAACCATCCGAAGAAGCCCTTTAAACCATTTTGCGTTGAAGTAAGAACCTCCCAGCCATATAACCAGCGTCTCTAGCGTCTTCGTGTTTCTCAGCAGACATTCTATGAACGAAGCCAATAGTTTCCACGTTGAATCTTCAGAATGCAACATCGAATACATCTCACGTGAGGGAGGAAAGGCACCATATTTTAATCTCCATAATTTATCCAATTTCGAGCCTTGTGTATCCAGATAGCTATCAACACATTCATCAACCTGTAGTACACATCAAGAGTAAATCCAAAAGCACATTATAATTAATTTTCACAATTTTGTTTTTGTCTTGAGCTACAAAAATACATAATAATCTTATAGCAAACTAGCTCAGCAAAAAGTGAAAGACATGTCTCTTTTCTTCTTACTTTATTGTTAGTTTGCAGGGTCTTATGATAGACAAGAACATAAAAGAAGTTTCTGGTAAAGAGATATTACCCACATGCTGCCTTTGTCCGTTGTCTGTACTATTAGCCTCTTTAAGTCAGGTGAATTTTGTAGCAACCATGCTATACCAGTAATCAAAGATCGGGCTAACTGTGTTTTAACAATCAAAGTTTGAACTCTGAGCGCTCGGAAAGGAAAACGACGGATCTCAGCAGCAGATAGAATCTAACAAATCCATTGGAAAAAAAAAACCATGCAAAAGTTAAAAATCGCAAAATGGCAAATAATTAACAAGAACTATTTGTCAAATTCAAGGCGTTGATATACAAAGAAAACAAATAAACCTGAAGAACGGTTGTACTAACAGTAAGTCTCTCTACATTCCGTAGTTTTGCTAGCATCTTTAACACCGTAGCTAGAAGTAAATCAGCCTTTCGATTAAACCGTTCATAGATGCCAATATCAAGGTAAGCCTCAGACAAAGAAGAGACGTCCACTAATTTACATGTTTCTGAGGTTTTCAATCTCAAATAATGAATGTGTGGAGCTATAATCTTAGTTGGTCGTGAAGCCCAAGAGCAGTGCTTTATTTCTAATCTTGTCAGACTCAATGACTTACGTAGGTCAAGAAACTGAAATACACCACAGTAATACAATGCCAAGCTTTCAAGCATTGGACAGCCAGAGATAATCCCTGCAATGGATTCATCTCGAATACGACAACTGTGCAGTGACTGTTAGATTAGAAAAACAGAGTAGAGAACAAAGAGAAACTGAAAGAGCTCTGTAAATCTTATTGAATAACTCATGAATACAAGAGGCTTAAATAGATGGAGCTTACGTAAAGCTCAAGCTAAGATCCTAAAAACACTCAACTCCCAAGATACTAGGGAGGATTTATTCAAATAAAAATCAACTCAAATAACTGCTCAACTACTAAAATAAACTCCTAAAAACTCGGCATTTGACTTTATCCTTCAATCCCTCCTGTAAACTGAAAACACTCTGTTTTTTCAGTTTAATCAACCTTCACGCAAACTCCCATATCACTTCTGAGCTTCTCAAATACTTCCAGCTTCACCGGTTTAGTCATCACATCCGCCAACTGGTTCTCTGTTGGACAGTACTCCAAGCTAATCGTACCTTCTTTCACCAAATCACGTAGGAAGTGAAACCTAACATGAATATGCTTACTTCTTCCGTGTAGAACAGGGTTTCTTGCTAGTTTGATTGCAGAACTGTTGTCGCACCAAAGTGTTGTGAAGTTCCCTTGATCAAACCCAATTTCTTTGAGAATGTTTCTCATCCAAATTGCTTGACACGCTCCATTAGCTGCAGATACATACTCTGCCTCCGTGGTTGATAGAGTGACAATAGGTTGCTTCTTTGACGACCACGCTACAGCTCCTCCTCCAAGCATAAAGACATAACCCGATGTGCTTCTTCTGTCGTCACTGTCACCCGCATAGTCACTGTCCACAAAGCCTACTAGCCCTTCTTCTCCATTACGCTTGTACTGTATCCCATAGTTCAGAGTTCCTTGCACATACCTCATGATACGCTTGGCTGCTAACATATGTTGCTCAGTAGGTTTCTCCATGTATCGACTCACCAAGTTCACAGAGTATATGAGATCAGGTCTTGTTGCAGTTAAGTAACGTAAGCTTCCAATCAGTTGCTTGAACTCTGTTGAATCTACAGCCCCTCCTGTTCCTTCCTTCGTCAACCTCAAGCCAGGAACTGTTGGATTCTTCACCGAGTTGCATTTGTCTAGCCCAAATCGTTGCAGAATCTCTGTTGCGTACTTTCTCTGACTAATGAAGATCCCATGAACGTCTTGAGTCACTTCCACCCCCAAAAAATACTTCATTCTTCCTAGGTCTGTCATTGAAAACTCTTTCTCCATAGATGCCTTGAACTTTTCCATCATCCGCATTGAGTTACTTGTATAGATCAAGTCATCAACATAGAGACTTACAATGATTGTTGCCTCTTCTTCCATCTTCACGAACAGGGTATGCTCACAATAACATTTTTTGAAACCCTCTGATGTGAAGTAGCTCTCAATCCTGCTGTACCAAGCTCTGGGTGCTTGTTTAAGACCATACAAGGCCTTTTTAAGCTTGTAAACTTTGTGTCTCTCTTCTTCAACTACGAATCCCAACGGTTGTTCTACATATACATCTTCATCCAGCTTCCCATGTAAAAATGCACTCTTCACATCTAGCTGAAACACACTCCATCCTTGTTGTGCAGCCACTCCAATAATCATTCTAATAGTGTCCCACCTAGCCACTGGTGCAAACACTTCATAGAAGTCCACTCCATGTGTTTGATGAAAACCCTTGGCCACCAATCTTGCCTTAAACTTGTCTACCTCTCCTCTTTCATTAAGCTTCGTCTTGTATACCCACTTCACTCCTATTACTTTGATGTTTGCTGGTGGTTCCATCAGTTCCCATGTGTCGTTTTCTTCAATTGATTTGATCTCGGTTGTCATTGCATTTCTCCATCTTTCTTGTCTTACGGCCTCTTCAAACTTCACAGGATCTGCAAGATCAACAAACATTGCCATCATCTCACCATCTTCTTCTTCCTCTGTGATCAAACCTCTGTCTTCACAAATATAATCTCTCATCCATACTGGTTTTTGCTTGCTTCTGCCTGTCCTACTTCTGTCTGTGTCTGAGCTTACTTCTTCTGCACTCGTCTCTTCTGCAGTTCTTTCTTCCTCTTCATTCTGTGAACCAGCGTTTCCAACTCCCTCAACTTCTTGATTTTGTGTCTCAGGCGATCTCTCTTGTACTTCATCTTCTTCATTAAACTCAACAAACCTGTCTTCCTCAATTTTTTCTTCCCAATTCCACTCTTTTTTCTCATCAAACCTTACATCCTTACTGATGATGATCCGTTTTGCACTTGGATCATACAATATGTAAGCCTTAGACTCCTTACTCACACCAAACATCACACATTTAATGCTCTTCTCATCAAGCTTCACTCTTCTTTCATATGGTACTAGAGCAAACGCAGTGCAGCCAAAGACGCGGAGGTGTTCAACTGAAGGCTTGTGGTGACTCCACTTCTCTGTTGGCGTAACATCTCCAAGTATTTTTGTTGGGCTACGGTTGAGTATGTGAACTGCATATTGGACCGCTTCAGGCCAGAATCTCAAGGGCACCTTCATTCCAAACAACATGCATCTCACCATGTTCATGACACTCCTGTTTTTCCTCTCTGCAATTCCATTTTGTTGAGGCGTGTAAGCGGCTGTGAGCTGCCTCTTGATGCCTTGTTCTGCACAGAACTCCTCAAACACCTTGGAGTTGTACTCTCCACCTCTGTCAGTTCTTAGACAAGCCAACAAACCTCCAGATTCTCTTTCTGTAGCACTTTTGAATTCCTTGAACACTTTGAATGCCTCAGACTTCTCTGTAAGAAAGTAAGTCCAGCATTTGCGACTATAATCATCAATAAAGTTGATTATATACCTTTTCCCACTCTCTGATGTTGGTGATATGGGACCACAGATGTCGCTGTGTACTAGCTCCAGTCCACGACTTGCTCTCCACACGGTTTTCCTTGGAATTGCTTCTCGGTTCTGTTTACCTTTCATGCACACTTCACATACACCTTCTTCAGTCTTGATCTTGGGTAAGCCACTCACCATCTCCTTCTCTGCCAAGACTTGTATACTGTTGTTTGCCAAATGTCCAAACCTTTTGTGCCATAGTTCCTCTGTCTCCACCACCGAGTTTTGTACCTGATTCAGTTGCATCTCTCCACTAGGTTCTCTCACTTTAGCCTTCACAACGAACATGCGATTTGTAGACATGAAAGGTTGCATCAGAAGTCTTCTTTGCTGCTTGTGCCAAATTTCGCAGACATCTTTTTCAATCACTATCCTCAGTCCCTTCTGCTGCAACTGTCCAACACTTAGAAGGTTGTTTCTCAAGCCTGGAACATAGTAGACTGAAGATATCATTTGAGTAGTTCCATTGATCTCCAATCTAAGACTTCCTCTTCCCTCCACTAGCATCTTCCGATCATCTCCAAGCTTAATTTGCTGACGAAATTTGTCATCAAAATCAGAGAACCACTCCATGACTCCACACATGTGATTACTACATCCTGAATCCAGATACCACACGTGATCAAGACCGGCTTCTGTTTGCGCCATAAGCAATACATATTCCTCCAGTTCAACGTAGTTTGCACTTTTCTCCCAACTAGGACACTCATTTTTGAAGTGTCCCATCTTGTGACACTTGTAGCACTCGATCTTGCTCTTGTCAAAGCTTGATCTTCCTCCTCTTCCACCACGATATCCACCTCTCTGATTGTGTCCTCCCGTTCCTCTTCCACCTTCCATCCTTAAGGCAAGCTCATCACCAGTATGTTTGGTAAGATTTTGCTCATGCACCAGTAATGAACTCTGCAGCTCATCAACGGTGAGTTCTTTGATGTCCTTTGACTCTTCAATTGCACACACAATGTAGGTGAACCTCTCCACCAACGTACGAAGAATCTTCTCAACAATTTTGTCATCTTGCATATCCTCACCAAGATTTCTCATATCATTTGCAACCACCATGACTCTTGAGAAATACTCAGTAATTGAGTCGCCTTCCTTCATCTCTAATACTTCAAAATTACTCCTGAGTCTCTGTAACTGTGCACTTCTCACTCTCTTGTTCCCTTGATACTTCACCTTCATTAACTCCCAGATGTCTTTTGAGGTCTCTTTCTTCGCTATCGTCTTGAGGATGTTCTTGTCAATTGAGGCGAAAAGGTAATTCTTCACTTTCAGATCTTTAAGCCTCATCTATGTTTGTTCTGTCTTCTGAGCGTCTGTCAAGACCACTCCCACCACTGATTGATCGATCCCTGTCTCAACAAGCTCCCACCATTCCTTAGAACGGAGCAAGTTCTCCATGAGCATTGCCCAATGCTCATAATCCCCATCGAACTTGGGAATGTTCAACGATGACTCTTTCTCACTCATTTTCTCACACGTTTTGGTAAACTCTGAATACTCGAGCACAAGGCTCTGATACCACTTGTTAGATTAGAAAAACAGAGTAGAGAACAAAGAGAAACTGAAAGAGCTCTGTAAATCTTATTGAATAACTCATGAATACAAGAAGCTTAAATAGATGGAGCTTACGTAAAGCTCAAGCTAAGATCCTAAAAACACTCAACTCCCAAGATACTAGGGAGGATTTATTCAAATAAAAACCAACTCAAATAACTGCTCAACTACTAAAATAAACTCCTAAAAACTCGGCATTTGACTTTATCCTTCAGTGACAAGCTCCTTAGGGATTCCCACAACACTGTGACTCCAGGAATCATATATCTATCCCTCAATTTCACGCTGAGTTTCTTTATAGAAGAACTAAGATAAAAAAAATCTGGAAAATTATACTTCCTTTGATTAAAGGTCATAGACAGATCCTGCACTCTGCGGGACATAGCGAACTCGATCCAGCTATCAATCTGAGGTGTAGAGTGATCATCACTGAAGATATCAAGATGGAAGCTCATGATTTTGGGAGCTGTGTAGTTAGTTAGGATTTGGTTTAGCCCTCGAGCCTTTGGTCCAAAGTCATGGATGTAGAGAGAAGTTAACTCGCGCCATAAATGCCTCCATCGGCTGGACAGGACAGAAGTCCTGGTGGCGGAGATGGTGTCGGTAAAGGAGAGAATATGGTGAAGGATCTCATCTGGCATGGAGCTGATGAAATCTCCACGGACATCCTTTGCTCGTTTGGTTTTGCGGCGTCTAGGTTTCTTACGACGTTGTCGCTGGCGCCGTCTCCCTAGCCAATCTGCCATGCTGCTGACTATTGTTCAGTGAGTTACATAAGTTACATATGTTTTTAGGGTTTCTTTTTTTATTGCTTTAATTAAAGCATACGATTTTCTTTAGTTGCTAAAATTTTGTGGAGTAAAATAGGGGTAATTTGCAAAATATCCTATTTAGGATTTTAAATTTGAAAAATACATAGCCTTTCTTTGTTTTATTGAAAATACACTTTCTTAAATGTGAATTTACTTTTTTTTTTACCCAAATTAGATATTTCAATAATTCAGATATAAATTCAAAATTAATAAGAATATTGTAATTACTTATGTTTAAGATAAATATGTGTGTTTAAGATAAATTTGCTATTTTACCTTTTAGAATTTTACAATAACGAAGAAATTTTAAAAGAAATAAATTATGATTTTTTGACGTTATCATAAAATTCATATAGATCTTATTTTATTTTCTTAATTTTATATAAACAAATTATGTTGTATTCTCTACAAAATTTACATTTTTCTTTGAAGTTTAGCAGTTTTAACCATCCGGATGCAGCTTGTATCTGCACATTTGACAACCAACAACTTCTTGTTTTACTTGTTGATAACATTTCTGAATTTGCGTTCAATTAAAAACATACGTATACTCCAAGACAACTTTGGTTTATTCTTGAACCATTGAGACCCTTTTCAATGACTTTTGCATCACGAAAATTAGAAACTTCCATTTCTGGTTCTTATTATAAGTACTATCCTTATCTATCAACATTGAAACCTTAATCATGGTTCCCAAGGTTTCCATTCTTCACCAAGATGCATAGACATAAAGGCTTGGATTTACACATTTCACACAAAGAATCCAATTGCTTATCATTGTTTACAAAAATAGGAGGGATATCCCTAAGCATATCTCGAAGCATAGGTCCGAGTAGTGCATAGCTAAGTTCTAACTCATTACCCAACCTATTACACCAAAATATTCGTGAACCATCTGAACCATATCGTCAAAGTTTAAACCTTCTTAATGGTAAATAATTTACCTCCTGCTCTTTCCATGATTCTTTATTCATCTTCCACTGTCCTCAACATCATGTGCAAAGATGCTCCAGAACCAGCAAATTCAGGGAAAGACACTGAATCAAATTACCACAGACATCAACACCAGGATGGACAACACGTTCACCGAGCTGAATACAAAATATGATACTATGAGCATCCACATGCGTAGGATTGATGTTCAGCTTACTCAAACAGTTGAGAGTGTCAAGAGGCAACAAGGAACACTCTTTGGAAAAACTAATAAAAATCCTAGGGCTGAGCAATATGATGCAATAGAGCAGTTTTTTGCTGAGACTTCTTTAAGCGCAGAAGAAAGAACCGAGAAGCCTGCTAGCTCTGAAGAGACTGCTCCTAGTGAACATGCTGAGACTCCACCAACTCTAGTCTATGTTCATAAGGTCCCTATCTTATTCCACCTAGACATCTTATGGATCTCATTAGTGCTTAGCAGCTAGCTAGATTAGGAAGATGGTGAGAAGACTTCAAAAAATATCTCATTTGAACATGCTTGGGAGATTCGGCCATTACATATGTTCTTCAAAAATTGTAGAGAGACTCAAGAAGAAATTAAGGCACTCTTTACTGAAGCATTGAAAGCATTAACACCATCACTGAAGGTATTGCCTAAGGTTGATGACCCTGGAAAGTTTGCATTTCCATGTTCCATAGCTGGAGTAGAATTTAAGGAATTTTTTTGTGACTCTGGGTCTAGTGTGAATCTTGTCTCGAAGGTGATTGTAGACGAGCTAGACATTGTGGATGCTGAGCCTTCTCAGGTGACTATGGCTTTTGACTGTATTCTGCATACAGAATTTCAAGTTGTTGACATGAGTAAGGATTATGAGATGCATGTGATCCTTGGAAGATCATTAATGCCTAAGGTGAAAACAATCATCGATATGCCTAATAAGAAAGTCTCATTCTCCAATATCAAAAAGAAGATCTTCTATAAGGATGTCTCCACCAGATTTCCCATACTACACGCCTCCTGCATCTCATTGGGTTGTGGAGAGAAGCTGAAGGTTGTTCCTAAGAAGGATCTTGGCAAAAAGAGTGAGATCAAAGAATCCTTGAAATGCGAAAGTGCAAGAAAAAATCCAGAAGAAAAGGGTCAAGGGTGACCCTACAATGACTTTTATACCTCCATGTATGATGAGAATTCCATTGAGTATGATGTAAAGTGCAAAGGTACCTCTAAAACATTCTCGAAAGTCAGAGCTATTCTCACATATGAGCAGAAAGAGAAAGGGAAAGCTGCTGTAAAAAGATTGTTGAGTAGAGTTTTGAAGCTGAACATGTCTGATTGTGGAGCTTGTTTTGGAACAAACACTAATGTTTAACCCAACTAAGCCCTATCACAAAGTCCAACTAGTGACTTAAACCAAGCGTTTGGTGAGTGGCAACCCACTGGTATGTGTAAATAGCATTAGGATTTGTTTTTTGCTTATTTTTGGTTTTAGTTTGTTAAGTGTCTGGTCAAAAATCAGAAAAATCTCAGATACTTCAAAAATTATGGGTATTAGTAACGGAGTACCTATCCCTCCGAAAGGAGCGGCCGCTGCATGTAGAGATCTGACAATGGAGAACCCATAATTTTCCGGAGCACCCACTCCATGCAGGTAAGTATCTCAACCAAAATATATATTTACGTTCTTATTTACACATTTTCTCTGATTTATTATCATACCAAGACGTTGTGAAGTAAGTCTGGGGGAGGATTTTCGTCGTTTACTGATTTCGATTGTTGTTTTTGGTTTTTTATGTTTGAGTCAGTCTTGAGTCATTTTGATGTTTTTATCAAGTGAGTCTTTAGGACCAAGTCAGTCAAAACATTGTGGGAATTAGGACATTATTTTGTAATGATCCTTAACCACCTTGTGCTTTAGTTATCTTATTGAGTGACCTTAACAGTGACTAAAACACACATGTGGACCTGGAACACCCTTGACATTTATCTCATTTTCTCAAGAAGATTTTGACTTGTAGAGGTTAATATGGAAAGACTTAACTTGAACCTAATCTTGAATGAATTTCTTCTTGTCATGGACGTTAGATCAAGGAAACGAGATTACACTCAGAACTTCTTATTCTTTTTATCCATTTTGCTGTCTTGAGTGGCTAGCTCATCTTTAGCTAGTACCCACCTTGAACCCCTTAAGCCTTTATTCTGTCCTCATGCATTTTTCTTTTCAGTATCTTATGTGTATATATGTTCAAAAGGACCAGAGAGGAAATGATCGATACAGGCTCTTACTCGTTACTGCAGCAGAAAATCAGATTAGTCGAGCAGAGCATGAAAGATTATTAAAGAGAGTAATTGCTCCATAACCAAAGCCCCAACACAAGAACAGAGTGGAGAACCAGAATGGTTGCACGATCAAAACCACTAGTGGAAAATCAGAACCATCATGTACTACCTCCTTCTTCGTCACATCACCATGTTACTCTTAAAATAAAACATAATAAGGTGATGGAGAAGAGGAATTTTTTTTTAAAAAACATGAGCCACTGGAAGGTCGAGCAAAAGAGTGAGTACAAATTTGAAAGAACAAGGAGCAGGTGGAGACTCAGAGAAGTTGCTCTAGAGAAAGTAAAAATGAGTAAAGGCTGTGAACATCAATGGATCCATCCTCTTTTGCAATTTTGTGCGATATCCTGCATCCTCTACAAAGAAATGATAAACCCTACAAACTTATAGCTCCACCATAAAATGGTCTTTTTACACCTAGAATTGTCTACCCTGAATAATTCATGTGATAAGCTCACACCACTCTAAAACTGAATGTAATGAGTTTTGTTTGAAAGGTGTGAGTTTTGCAGGTTAGAGATATAGAGTATGTAGCCGATTTTGAACAACAATCAGTGGGGGGTTTTGGTAAGGGTCTGTTGTCCTAGTTTTACTACTTATATGGTTCATAGATTTGTGGTTGAGGTATGGTCGCTAAGAATAGGAGAGCTCCCACACTTTCAAACCTTTCTCCATGTTCCTGATGCTTGACTGTTTGACGACAAACAAGGATCTAAGTCTGAAAGAACCGATATGTTGAATTTTTGACACATTGTATATAAGTTTTATCATTTGTTTTCAAGGGTCCATCAAGTATTTTTAGTCTTTGTAAGTCTTTACAGATCCGGAGTAGGTTGGAAGGCTCTTGGAAGAATATAGGAAGAAAATAGTATAAATTATAATTTTCCCGCGTAAAAACTAAACAGATAAACCTGATAGGTGCTCCTGAGCCAAGCAGAGCACCTGAATGCCTGCTCTAGTGGCATAGATTTTTACGGAAACTACAAGATATTTCAGCATTTTCCCTAATCCTCCCATTTTCTCTTTGAGCCGCCAGCGACCTTTACATATATTTTCTTCCACTTTTCTATTATTTTCTATGCTACTACTTTTACTTGAGAAACTAGATCCTATTGAATTCTATGCTACTACTTTTACTTGAGAAACTAGACCCTATTGAATTATTATAGCGGTTTGTTACCCTTATAAATGGAGAAAGATCTCTCTCTCTCTCTCTCTCTCTCTCTCTCTCTCTCTCTCTCTCTCTCTCTCTCTCTCTCTCTCTCTCTCTCTCTCTCTCTCTCCTTCCTTAGAGAAGAGTTCTTGAATCCTATCTATCTTTTATTGCAATCATATTCCATGTTTTATTCAGTCTCTATCTCTGTGTTTCTTGCTTCATGGTTGAGTAGTCGGCTTATTAGGTTTAGGTGTTAGGGATCATGGATCAATGTGTTAGACACAAATAGGATTGTTATTCTTTGATATCTGTGTCCATTCCTAAACTTACTGCTTGTGTTAAACTGGGCATTTAGCATCTTGATATAGATTTAATCTAATCCTCAAAAGTTTTTTAGGTTTCTAGAAAAAACATAGATAAGCGATTTGTCTTTAGCCAATGAAAACTGATGTTAAGGAAAACTGTGAACCAATTGAATTTGAGCTCAGTGCTTGTCATCATTCTCTA